ATCGACTTCTAATAGAAGTGATCGAATTTTGCTAATTTTGGCACGGAACAGCATGTAATAATGTTCCTAAATTCTAGCTAGCCTATAATATATTTACGCGAACACAATACAATGAATAAACCTGTTATTACATATTTTTTCTAAATTAATTTTACTTGTTCTTAACTTCTGAACTTTCGAGTGCTTTGCAGCACCCACGGTCCCAGACCCCCAAGCCATGGTGCTGCAGACGTTTCGAGTATTTTCCAGCACCCATGGTCCCATGACATAGTACTGCAAAGCACTCGAAACGTCGGGAGTTAAAACAAGTAAAATAAATAGTGAAAAAATCCGTGAACCTATGACCGTTTTTACTGGAAACGAGGCATTCTATCTTAGTCCTCAATGGTGACATCGCATTTCCATTTTGATTTTTAATCGAGGAAAGACGTAGACATCTATAGGTCACCGCATCCACTTACCATCAGGTGGACTATGTGCTCGTTTATCATCCTATTATATAAAAAAGGCTGTAATATGTTTTAAATATAATAATTCTGTGATATGCTTTGAATTTGAATGCTAACGATGATTATGCTAAAAAAAACTGCTACGATTTCAAAATACTATAATAATTAACTTTACTACGTTTATTTTTATTTTACTATAGTATAGGGGGGCGTAAGATAATCCGCTATCATTTACCCGCCCGTGTGTGTCGTAAAAAGTGATATGACGTGACCAAAATGAAACAGAGGGTGGGCAGCAATACTGCATTAGGCAACCAGCCTTCCCAGCGTGGCAACTGTTGCAAATATCACCCTATGAGGAAATCTATGATGGAGGCATATGTTGATCAGTGAACTTCTGATGGGTTGCCCATCTCGTGTTTCAGTTAGGTTAAGTTGGTTATTGAGTAGGTTGTGGGGTTACACAGTAACTATTAAATGGAATATTAGTGTCTGTTGTGGTTTTCCAAAATATTATATTTTACATTTTTTCTTTTTTTTTTATTAACGGTGAAATATAGATAAAAGATTATTGTTTAAATAGTTACAAAAAAATACTAATGACATGGTACGTTTAAAAATATTTTACGAAGAAAAAGTCGTGTGTCAATTGTTTTTATCACTAGTCGAAGTTCGTCAATCGCGCGACTAGATTTTAGAACGATAGAAATTTTATCATTTCAAAAGTTCACTCTCTTCGCAAGATTGCACTTGGTACGCAGATTTTGATCGTGGCCATGTTTCTTTCCATTCGTGAAGATCGACCCTTAATTGCTAACTGAAGAAGCTATTACACCATGACAATGCTTGCGCACACACCGTGAACAAGACAAAGTCATTTTAGGCTGCTGAAAAGGTGGAGCTCGTGACCCATCCTGCACTCAGTCCAGACCTCGCACTATGTCATTTCTTTTATTTTCTCTAAAATCAAAGATTTGATGAGCGGAAGCCAGAGATTACGGAGCCAGAAGAGACTGTGATAACTTTCAACCGGCACGTGGAATATATGGCCTCAGACAAATTATGTATATTAGTAATTATGTTTTCAAGAATGGTTTGAATGAACAAAAATGTGTGAAATAGTTTAAAAAGCGATAAATATATATTATTTTACATACCCATATATTATATAGTAACGATACAGGATATATATATAAACCTGTATCATATATATATATTTATATATTGTACACTAGGTTTGCTTTATCTTTATGCAAAGAAATTTATTATTTTACTTTACTGTAAGTAACAAAAGAGCAAATTTTATCGAATAAAGGTCGGCAATTTCTTACGAATACTTCCGTTTTATACTCGCAGTATACTTGCTAACCTGATAATCAAAATTATTTCCGTACTATGCTTCTTTTTAATATTTAAAAGCTCCTTGTCATTATTAATTTCAAAGTTATTTTATTTTGATGGGGAAAAAATTAGCTTTCTTTTATAACCTCAGGCATTATTCTAATAAGACGTATTGTCGTTGAATTATTTAAAACTTATGGTGTTTTTTTACTGCTGCAATTTTCCTTACATATAGTTATTGCAAAGCACAAATCTTTAAAAAATTTTCACATTAAAATAATAAATCCTTATTTAATAATGATATTTCAAGTATAGTACAAAGAATATACATACATTATTCATGATTTTTTTGAAGCAAGCAAATAACGATGAACTGATTCAAATGGCTTGAATCAACAGCGAACTTGGAATCAAAATCAAGAAAAAAAAACTATACTCCTATAGTCTTACATTTTATCAAATCTTTGTATTATACATGATATTTGTTTCTTTTTTAGTATAAAAATATATTACATTGAACATTCATGCATCAAATTACTTCGCGTACATCCGCTCGATAAAATAAAATGATGAGTCTTACCTGGTTTGAAGAGCACCTCCCGCCCTCCCTCAATTGCGTGCACTATCACCGTCACCACTAATCCCAGCACCACTACTCCCAACACCACTACACTAGGAAAGACACACCACTGACGACAATACGACACGTGTTTCGCCTCTACACGAGGCATCTTCAGGTAATCTAGACTGCGGTGGCTGACCGCTAAACCGCTAACCGCTAATATAATGGACTTCCGCAAAGTAACGCCTGATTCTATTAATTAATTCATACGTCAGATTTTCACCATAAAGATAGATTTTACTTTGTACATTTAAACATCAAACTGCGACTCTACAGATAATAAAATAAGATATAAGATGTTACGAAAACAAAATATTAATACCTATATTTTTATATTCAAAGAAAGTGGCGATGAATTCAACGTTATGATTTATTTTTATACTCTTATAGATATTTCTCTAAAGATTTATATTCAGGCCATCCGGCCAGATATTTTGCAAGTGGTGTATGTGAAAGCAATAAATAAAATCGTTTTCATAACCTTTTATTTATTCCCTTATTGACTGCCGCTCAAGATTTTTTTTATAAACTTATATTTATCCTTATCATCATTACAGCCCAATAAAAGACCACTGCTCTGTATAGGCCTCCCCCATAAATTTGCTATAGCGATATAGGCAACTATAGTTGCCATGTTTCCAGGTGGGCTGGCTACCGCAGTTTCTAGGACGTTGCTTCCCATCTCCTGGTTTGTTATCCTCTGTCGCCTCTTACGAAACCCATGGGATGATATGGAGTAGTAGCTGTTCGAAATGCGAAATCGAAATGTCTAAGTTATCCTAATCATGTTTCATAGACACTCATAATTTAAACTCAAACTTCGTAATTTCAATAACTATGTAACATATAATGGCCTAGAGTCAAATTTTGTCATTAAAATTTTTGTTTAAACATTTGTCCATTATAATTCATATATATAAAACAATACACAATACAAGAGAAAATTCTTATGTGGGATGTGCATAGAGCATCACGGGCCGGACCTGAGTGGAGTAGCGTTTTTTCTCGATACACCTGCCTGTCATTTTTTGCGTGAGTAAATTGACGCACACAAAAACAATGGTCTGTCACTACGAAACTAATATAAGAATTTATTTATTTGATTTTAAAGGGAAACATACAATACGAAAAGAAAATGAAACAATAAACTAACAGTTTCACACACACATAGATACAATATAACAATATTGCTCGGTGACAGTGGTGACAGCGACAACTCTGATACAGACTCGGATCAGCCGCTCGACCGAGCTGTATATTTTATGAGAGCGAGGGACCTGTGTTGGTAAGCAAATCCAAAACAACATACATACATATACATAAACACTACAGCCTGTCACCCAGAGGGGTAGGCAGAGACTATGGACTTCCATTTGGCACGATCCTGACACACCTCTCTCGTTTCCTCCACATCCATATACCTACGCATACACGCTCGTCGGTTAAAGGTACTCTTGATTTGGCCCATTTTTAATATATCGCCAATTTGGTCGATAAACTTTCGCCTAGGGCGACCCTTGCCGACTCTGCCGTTCACCTCTGCAACCTAAATTTGCTTTGTGTCACTCTTTCCTCATTCATTCTTCGTGTTGTTACGGACAAAAAAAATAAGTCCGAAACAATACGACCGTTAATATTGTAATTTTTAAGTTTTAAAAGAAATAAATAGAAATAATGTAAATAAAAATTACTTATATATGAAAGGTGAATGCAATCTTTTTGTAAATTTGAGATGGCAGATCTCTTTTTGCAGCAAAAAACTGAACAAGTCAGTATTTTCTATTCAGACTATATCTATCTAGAAAGCAGCGCGCAGATTTAACAGTGGTAGAACCACACGGCAGCTTTTGCTATCGCACGGATGGGCCGGCTCGAACCGGGGTGGTACCACGACCTCACAGAAAACCAGCGTGAAGTAGAGATTTACTCTGCGTTTCGCTTGGTGAGTGCAGGTGGCCGGAGGCCCTTTTTACTGGAAATGAGGCATTCCATCTTAGTCCTCACGGGTGACAACGCATCTACATTTTGATTTGTAATAGAGGATAGATGTAGATGTCTATGGTCCGCAGCAACCACTTACCATCAGGTGCACTGTGTGCTCGTTTGTCACCCTTATCCTATAAAAAAAAGATCTTCTAGATTAATCTAGAAAGCAGTGCGCATGCAACTAGTTTTATTGTATGCATCCACGCGGTCCTGGACTTATTCTTTGAATGAGGGGAACGTCTGCGTATGTCTAGTCCTCTCCGACCCGCCGGTGAGCCCTGTTGCGCTGTGAGTGTGTGTAACATTATTATCTTAAAAAAATAAAGAATAACACACACATATATGTGGATAAGACATTGACATAACATGACAAATGGATTTTATATAATTTAAAATTAAAATGATATGCCGCTAGGTTACTTGTTGTTTTTTGCCAAAGAAGATCTTATCGAATTATTAATTCTTATTTATTACTTTTTCATTAAAAATTACTTTGAGTATCTACCTAATTATGTTGCAATATAATTATATTTATTAACATTGGTTGACATCCCTCAGGTCGTGCTATTGAGCGTGTATGTACCGGTGCGGATGGCGCCGGCATGGTGTCCGCGGCACGCGCTCTGCTCGCGGCTGTCACGAGAGTTCTACTTCTGGCAGACATGGTCGTGGTACGACAGCTTCTACTCGCGAAGGATAAGGTTCTTATTCTCCTTCTCATCAGCCCGTTAATAATCAGTTGGACATAGGCCTCTTCGATAATAGAAGAAATATAGGCAGGCGTATTGACGTTGCAATAATCAATACGCCTGCCTATATTACTTCTAATAAACGTCGTGCATCTCTTTTTTTTGTAATAAGGATGACAAACGAGCACACAGTCCACCAGATGGTAAGTAGTTGCTGTGGCCCATAGACATCTACATCTATCTACGTTTGCGAATTAAAATGCAGATGAGTTGTCAGCCGTGAAGACTAAGATAGAATGCCTCTTTTCCAGTAAAAAGTGTCTCCGATTCTCTACACGCACCATACCAAACACAGCAGCATTAAGCTGCTATTTTACGCTGGTATTCTGTGAGAGCGTGGTCCTTCCCCAGTCGAGCCGACCCATTCTAGCTACATCTATACTATTAATATACCGTCACAATATCTGGGCTTTTCCTTATTTAGCCGCCTCTTACGACACTCTTGAAATAGTTGAAGAGATGGTTTCTCTTACACACGCTTCCACATGGCAAAAGATCTTCTACTCAATTATTTTCGTAGTTTTACAGCTGTAGTTTTAAATATGCGAATCAGCCAACTTGTACCTAACTTTTATTTCTACCGAAATATAGCAGTGCTTGCACTGTTATGTTTCGGTCTGAAGGCTACAGAGCCAGTAGTTAAGGGCTGTGCGGCATTCCATTTTAGACCTTAGAAATGACAACGCATCTGAAACTTTCTTTGTTTGAAATTGGCTGTTGATGGCCATAGACTAGCTACATGGATAATGGACTTAAGTTCTCATATTTCTAAAAAAGAATAAAACATTCACACTAGTTTGTGCATGTCATGATTAAATTAAGATGGTGTACCTAAGCTTCAACCGAAACACAATAGAAACATATGTCATTTTATTCATAAGCTTATACGAACTTATATGAACTTTATCTATTGATTTACAGTTGAATACACAATACATGTAGAATATAAACGCCTCACACCAAACCACACCTAATAGCATGAAATTAAAGACGGTAGTTGTAGGTAGCATTTATCTTTACATATTACCTACCTGTAATTCATTTTGTACGACAGGTGGCGCGTTCCCTAGACCGTTTGGAGTCGGTGTCAAACTTCGCGGAATTCGTACGTGCTTTCACGGAATTCGGTGGAGGCATGGTAGAGTTGGCGCGACTAACAGCTGAAAGGCGCGCCGACTTGCGCGATGAAAGGCGGCGGGCGCAAGTTGCCGCCGCTCGGAATGTTCTTGAACGCTCCACACTCATGCTTCTTACATCGTCTAAGGTATAATTTATATTATTTCGGTAAGTATCGAGAACAATGGCAGAGATATTTTAATACCAATTTCTCAGTGTACATAAAGCCTAAATTATTTCATTCAAAAAATCGTTAATAAAATATTATAAATTCAAAATTTTACTACCATTTCTGCTAAGCTACATAAGGTTCATACTTCACTTATTATTATATTACGAGTTTATGTTTATGTATAATATCATTGATTACGAGTATCATAAAAATAATTAACTTATCTCTCCCGTCGCAATTTTTCAAAGAATACTAGCAGTGCTATTAAAACTACTAATATTCCCGTTGATCAGTTCAAATAGCTAAAATGCTTGTGTGTGCTAGGAGTTGGTTCATCTATTTTTCTTTGAAAATAATTAAAATTCTTCACGAAATAAGTGGCAGGATTTGCTTTCAACCAATTAAAGCATATTATCCTATTGTGTATCGGATTATTTTAAGACTCACTGCGCTCAAAGAGGTCGAACATTGGCGCGCGTTCCAGCGGCACGAAATGGATACCGCCTTGGAATGCGCCCCATAGTGTTCACTGGAACACTCAAACGTGGAACGGGCCGTTCCATCTGGTGTCGGTTTTTTATCGCGTATGAAAGTAGTTAAGATTTGGCGCGCGCACCAGTTGGGACGGTTTTCATCATTCGTTTATTAGTTGTTTCCCGAGCTATGGATAACCAAAGTTGCCGTAAATTGATAAAATTATATGGTTCAAAAGATCTGCTGTGGAATATCAAAAGTAGTTTTTCAACCGACTTTAAAAAAGGAAGAGGTTCTTAATTCGTCGAAATCTTTTTTTATGTATGTTCATTACTCGAAGACGTCTGAACCAATATGGAAAATTCTTTTTTTTTTCAAAGGGTATTATACTTCCTAGGTGGTCCCATTTAAATTTTACCGAAATCGGTCGAGCGGTTTTTAAAAAATCAACACAAAATTATTTATATTGATGTCAGTAATTGTACAACATTTTTAAATTTTGCCACTTGTATCATAAATAAAGCGCTCAGAGAAGATAGAGAACTATGAAAGCGGCAGCTGCTCGTATACGACCGATTTCCATGTTGAACGGTCAAACACTGGAACGGCTACCGCGCGCGCCAGGCGTTCTTAGTTGATACACTTCGAACATTTGGAAGACGTTCAGCGGAATGCACTGATCGGCGCGGTCATTCATGGCGTACGCGCCACGATCGCGTAATCGATACACGGCTTTAGTTGATACACTTCGAAAATTTGGAACGCGTTCCGCGGAACGCACTAGTCGGGGCAGTCATTCATGGCGCGCGCGCCAGGGCGCGTAATCTATACGCTGCTTTACATTTCTAGAAGTAATAACAATTTAACGTTTGTGTTTGTCATATACTTGGATATTTCAATACTTGAATATTAATCCAACGACCTACAATTCCTCTTAGTAATTTAGTCTGAAAACAACCATTACGCTTAAGTACGGTGGCTTCATGTAGGCCGGCGTATTTTTCATAAAAACTGTGCTAAAATACAAAAAAATCCTTAGGAAAACTTTGAAATTTGCAAGTAGAAATTATATTAAGGTTGTGACAATTTCTTTTTACAAGCAAAGCGCCTCGTGACGAACTAACTCGGTAACTAAGAAAGTAAAAAAGTAATATGCGCCTCACTAATCTATACTAATATAATAAAGCGGAAGAGTTTTTTTTTTGTTTGTTTAAACGCGCTAATCTCTGGAACTACTAGTCCGATTTGAAAAATTCTTTTTGTATATTATAGCCAGATTCATGTGGAATAGTATAGGATATCTAGCATTAAGCTATATTACTCAGCTAGCCTTAAATATGGATATTTGTTAAGCAAGTCAGAAGAAAAAGCACTCCCGAAATGATTTATCCGCGTACGCTGGTGTTATCGTTAGGGATACATAAATACAATGTTCTAGAAAAATATAGACCTTAACTCCGTCTAAAAACAAGTCCGCGATACCATATGTCTATTTCTTATTCATAAGCCATAATTTGGTATTTTGTGACAAAAAAATATTGAAAATTTAAAAGTGATTTATGAGCGTTATTATTAGGCATGGCCTATTAATCCTTACGAACGAAAGTTACTTCATCATCAAGACAATTTTATGAAGATAAACTTTGTTCTTTATACCATGTTATTTGGACGCATAGTTTAAGAGATAATGTAAAATTAAAATAATTCAATACTTGGCTGGGTGCGCGAACGACGCTTAAACCTTAGCCGTTATAAAATGCTTGAACTAGGTCATGTCGCGCACCTCGGACACGTGATGACGCGGATGAAACCGCGGGGCACAGCTAGTCTAAACAGTATAATATAATCTTTATTATTCGATGTATTAATGTAAACAATAATAATATTCAATTCATTTTACAAGATTTTTTTTTTCAAGAAAAAGCACAATGATAATTCAATGTAGTGTCATACATAAAATATATCATCGTATCTTTTTAACTACAAAATAGAAAATGAGCATTAATTATATTACATTATTACACATGGGTTATATGCCAAAACTTGATTTTTGAATTTTGATTTCAAAAATTAATTTTAAAAAATCTTAAACGTCGGTCCCTTTATCTTTTAAATTCAGATTGCGTGGTAATGCATTACTTTAACTGATTGACATTCATAAATGTCTAACGCCTACTATTTTACCACGTACGCACGCGTCCATTTGTCGGCAAATACGTAGTGAATTGAAACGCACACAGAGGAGCGCGTGTACGCGTAGTTGTTGCCCAAAATCACATTCAATTTGGGATAGTTTCAAATAAAAGCAGAAGCCTTATTTACACGCATTTTCAAAACCTGCAATAACGTTATATCATTATTTATACGAGTATATTTGAACTTAAATATAAAATTTGGATACTCTTTGAAAAATAGTCACTTAAATTATTTAAAAAAATTTGAATTTCAAAAGTCTGTGCTTGATTTTCACCAGTACCAATAATATTATCATTTGCAATTTTTAATATACGCGTCAAAAGAAAACATCGACAGAAAACTTGTATATTATAATAAGAATGAATAAATGAAGGAAAACAAGAACACACATGGGAGTAGCACGCCACGATCTTCTCTAAAACCCTCTCTGAAATAAGACGTGGCCAGTGCCCACTGCCCAGCAATGGGAAGTATATAGTACATATATTACTTAAGTATAATACGGACACTACATCAAAATTATACAGACCTAGATTCTTAACATGGAGTAAAACAACGAAGTAGAATTGATACGAAGAAAAAAATATGGAAGGATAAGGTAGGGGAAAAGTAAGGCACAAGAGATAGAATTTATAAAGGCTGGTGGGTTTTTATGCAGGACAACATTTTGTATGTTAATAGTTGCTGGATGGTAACGAAAAAAAGATATGCTTTAAAGATATGTAAATAATCTATCAAGGAAATCATTTTACTTTGCCAAATATCATAAGTTCTGTCAAAAACTTTTTATAAAATTAATGATACACTTTTTGATAGTTATATAGAAATTATATATGAAATTAAAAGTAATTTAATTTAGAATACAAATTTATTTACGTTATTCAAAATTCCCTCCCCTGTTTTGAATACATATCCATAATCGACGCGGCCAATCATCAATCGCAGCACGCACCACACTCATATCTATTTCTGCCGCTGCTTTAGCCAAAAATGCTCGGAGAAATTCCAAATTCTTTAAGGTTTAACGCAGACTTTCTTCTCCAAATGTTGCCATATCTTATAATCAAGTAGGCTTAAATCTGGACTAGAAGGGGGCCGGTCTTCATGTCCGATAATGTCAATTCCATAGGCGGTCAACCAGTTTTGCGTGCTTCGTGCCCTATGAGCTGGTGCAGAGTCCTGTTGGAATATCCATTGTCTGTTTTTGAACATTTTTTGAGAAACAGGTTCCACTATGTTTGTAAGGTCGGTATTTTTGTACACCTCGGTACTGGTTTTTACACCTTTTTCACAGAAAAACACCTCAGTTAAGCCTGAATATGAGACTCCAAGCCAAACCATGAGTGACGAAGGATAATGTCCTCGTTAAACCCTCAGAATACGCGTGCTGGCTTCTTCACTGCTGTGGGCATACACCTTATCATTTTGTTTATTATAATTTTCTTCGATGTAAAAAAATTTTTCATCCGAAAACAAAATTTCGCGGTATTTTTTTCCCGCGTACCGTCGTAACAAAGCGCGGGATCTATCCAGCCTATTTTTTTCAAACGCTCGTTCAAAAAATGTCCGGTCTTCTTACGATAAACTCGTAGTCCTAGGTCTTCATTGATCACTCTTTTGACCGTGGTTTTGCTTAGACCCATCTGAAGAGTTAAGATTTTTTGTTTACGAACAGGATTTCGTTGGATTCACGCCTTCACTGCTTTCATGATCGCGGGTGTCGTAACTGTACGAGGTCCTCTTACGATCTTCGAAGCTTGAATCTTCAGTGAATCGTTTGATAGTGCAATAAACAAATCGTAGGGTTATTTTCAATTTTTGTAGAATATTGAAAATCTCTTTTGGCTCGTAACCACAGCGGTGCAACGCGATAACCGCTACTCTATCTTCATTCTTCACCACTCCATATTTGAAAATGAATAAAAATTAAGGTCTTTTTTATTTTCGGCAAGCGCAAACGTTATATTTTTAAAATTGGTGAAGTTCATCTAGCCAGTATTCAAAAAAATTAAATAATAAGGTTTTGACATAACTTATGACCCGACTAAGTATAAGTAGTAGCGACAGCGATCTCCTGTGGTGGCGGCCTGAAAGAATCCATCGTCATATTCATCGTCCCGTAGTCCCCCATCGTCATCGTAAAATCCTATCATGTGTGCAAAATATAATAAATATAAACATTTCGTCGCCAAACGAAAAGAACCCAGACTAACAACGGGCAGTAGCGTCAACCTGCCACGCGTGACGTACTCATAAGCCAAATCCATACTGCAACATCCAGCAGGCTCACGAAGAAAGCGAAGATGTACTAGAAATATACTTATAATTTTATTGAGAGGTTAATATTTTACTGAAATAACACTTCAACTTTGAAAACTTAGTTTACGCTTGATCAAATTCATCTTACACGGGCATTTATTGAAGTAAGGCAAAAAAAGGAATTTGTAGAAATAAATGCTATCTTCACATTCAATAGCAAAACTAGTCATAAATATTCGTGTATTTTTGCGGTCACGAGGCTAACAAGTCCGGGGAACAATCAACGCTAAGCAATTTGTAACCGCATCCGGATGAACGCGCTCGCACTGATGTTCACTGACGTTAGATACAAAACATTACCCTCCCCTCAAGCAACCTATTTTTACACGGGCTGCTTATTTAGAAAGTCATTAATATTACCGTATTTGAATAATATAATTTTAGAAATTGAACACGACTTATTTAAAATCTAGTAACCCTCTTTACGTGTACTTCATGGATGTGCTAACAAATTAGATGCCAAAATATCGCGCGGACTTTGGTGGATTTTATTATAGCATAAAGTGACAAACGAGCACACAGTCCATCAGAGGTTAAGTGCATGCTATGGCCCATAAACACCTACATCTATCCTCGATTAGGAATTAAAACGTAGATGCTTTGTCACCTCTGAGGACTAAGTTCCTAACATTTCTAAAAGGCTCTCAGATTCTTTGCACTGGCTATACGAAATATAATAGGATTAAGCTGCTATTTTTATTGGTATTGTGTGAGAGCATGATCCTTACCTGATCGAGCCGCCGCCCATGGTGGAGGCCGCCCCGTCTTGCAACCATAATGTAGCTGCAGCGTGGCTTTACCTCGTTTATGTAGTAAAATGACCATCACAAACAAGCCACACTTAAATTGATAGTGAAATTGTTATTTGTAGCTGGAGTACAGCGAACAGCGCTTAAGCAGCTTAACTGAGAGCTAAGCATGACCAACCAATATATCTAAAGTTTTACCCCTAAAGACTTTGATGGAATACCTCACCGCCTGGATATCTTGTCCCAAACTGGAAACTGTAGTAACTGCATCGCTGCTTGGCTACAGAAGTAGATTAGAAGTTGGCTCCAACCCAGACTGACTTCTGGGAATTACCACCTAATTAAGTAGATTTTAATAATATAATTTTTTTTTCAAGAAAAAGGATAAATTTGCAGGTAGACAAATAAGACGCCAAACTAACAAGAGTAACTGCAATCCCAAATCAGGCCTTGGAATAATGCAATCAAAATATCAGTCCAGGTTTTCTGCACCTAAGACGACAAAACTTCTTGTAACCGACCAGGCTATTTCTAATTTGATTTTGCATTTTTATTGTAAAAAAAATGTCAAATATCACTTTTTATTTTCCCTAGTACTAACACATTGAATAAAATGCTATTAATATGCGTCCGACCCAGCATTGCTAACGTAGTCAGTAATGCGGTATGATGTAAGTAAGTTAATCGTTGATGAAGAAATTTGGTATTATGGTGCTACTCATATGTTTCAGATTATATTGATGTAATATTTAGTTGAAATTAAGTTGAAAAATTTTATCGAATATTTTTTTGTTTATTATTAATTTAGGAATAAACTGAATGGCAAGCGTACATCGTCCGGCGTACGTGACAGACATCATGCTTTTTTAATATACAAAATGTATACCGAAATCGCTGCTATGCCTCACGCGCTGTCGAACATTTTCCACTTAGATTAAATTTAACTATTACATAAATAATACATTATTTATGCAAATTTTTATAATAAGGCTCCATGCTATCTATTGTGTATAATATATTGTATTACTGTTGGAATTGTCTCACAAACCAAACGAATACGCTGCCTCAGGCTTGCTTGCGACATCCAGGCAGCGCGTCGGCGAGAGAGAACCGGGACACTGTGTTCTGCCAAATGAGACGGGCGATGGACCTTATACATTATGTTGTTCGAGATGGATTACCAGGACACGAGGAGCAGTCACACGAGGTATGATCTTTTACTTTCTTTTTAATACTCTATTTCTTCAATAAAAATAAAAAAATCTCACACACACACTAAACTTCCTGTAATATCGACTTGTGTTCGATAGAAAAAGCATTTTTTTTAAAAAAACACTTGTTTCTTTCATTACATAATAACAATTTTAATGATTCCACATTTATATATTTTAGGCACTGTGTTAATTAAATATAGAAAAACTTAAATATTATCACGAATGAAATTAGTAAGTAATTCACATGAACGTATAATTTAATACGTGCATTCGGTAATTCAATACTCGTATTCTTGTGGAAAATTCTTGCACTAACAATGGTTGACGTCAAATATTCTGAATGTACCTTTATTTTACATGATATAATATTATGTTGGTCTCCGTATTTGAAGCCAAGTGGGCTTAAATAAGCCCAGTGATATTTTACAGGCTTTATACTAAATGCGTATTGCCGTGAACTTAACCACTGACATTCGCCATTTAAGCCCCGCTGTTCATGTAATTCCAGGCTATTATGTTCATGACAAACGCAAATGGATCGTACCTAGAATCCGAGAGACAATAGCAATAATAATAGCTTAAGCCTGTCGAAATTACCGACATATAATAATTTACAGTTTCTATTCAATTTAGTAATTTATTCATATTTAAGTCATATTCATATAAGTTTCCGTTAATTTAAAAAGATATATAATTTACGACTCGGCCAGTAGGTACAGTGAATCAAGGCAGTGGTTTCTTGGTGTAAATATTTTGTCAATAGTTTAGATAATAGTTCCACAGCTATCTGTCGGTAAAAAATCAACAACTGACTTCGATTTTTACTTACAAAAATGTCTTTTGTTTAGCTAAATAAAAAACAGCATTTATGTCAAAATTAAGTTAAGAATCAAAATACACATGCGTGTTTCATTTTAACTAAAATGAAATGGTGCATTTATTGTAAAAATAGGGTCTCTAGTTTTCGTTACTTACCATACGATACATATCAGCTGGTATTCTTCGTTATATGGTGACTCTATCACGTAAAAGTAGTCAAACCAAAACTAAAATTAGAACAGGGTGATTTTCAAGTAGCTCTTTGTTCTGATTAAGTAAGCGTCATAAGCCCACGTCAGTAAATTTATATTTAAAAGCATTATTATAGTCACTTAATTGTCTTTCCTCGCATCATTTGGATCTTGAACGTCTTAAAGTTAAAAAGTGAAAGTTACAGCTTATATATACGTCCCACCGCAAGGCACAGGCCACCTCTCATTTTTAGAAGGTTTTAGGGCAAGGATTGAACGTTTTAGCACTAAAGAAATAATTAGTCACAATTTAAAATACCGATTTACGGGCTTCGTTAACTTTAGAGAAGCATTGTAAAGTATGCTCGTATTGAAGAAGGGATCGAATGGAACCAGGGCTCAAGTCTTTGCCAGAGATCTGTCTACCAGAAAGAGCCAACTATCGAAGCTGAAGACCGAATGTAGCAGCATCGTTTCCGGGACGGCTGTACACATCATCGTTGGAGCCACACGCAAGTGTGAGTAACGATCGAAGAGCATGTCTTATCCGACACCATTGCAATGTTATTCCGAACGTCAGTCTCAGCGAGATTGGAATGGCTCTCCAGCACCTTAAAAACGGCAAGTTCCCAGGCGAGAATGGAATTACAGCGGAGCTTCTGAAAGCGGGTGGAAAGCCAGTACTTGAAGTCCTTCAGAAGCTCTTTAATTCCGTCCTCCGTGGTAGCACTACTTCGGAGGCGTGGAACAGAAGTGCAGTGGTCTTGTTCTTCAAGAAAGGCGACAATATTCTCTTGAAAAATTTCCCTTCTAAGCCGCGTCTACGTGCTGTTTTCGAGAGTCATTATGAATCGTCTCGCACGCAGACTCGACGACTTCAAGCCTCCCGAACAAGCTGGTTTCCGAAAAGGCTTTAGTACCATAAACCACATACTTACTCTTCAGCAAATTGTACAGAAGACCGAAGAGTACAATCTGCCACTTTGTCTTGCGTATGTGGACTATGAGAAAGCCTTTGATTCCGTCGAAATTTGGGCGGTGCTGCAGTCCCTTCAGCGGTGCCAAGTTGACTGCCGGTATATCGAAGTGTTGAAGTGTTTGTATAGTAGGGCTACGATGGTTATCCGAGTACAGAACCAGAGTACGAAACCCATCCAATTGCAGAGAGGTGTAAGACAGGGTGACGTTATATCCCCGAAACTCTTTACCTCTGAATTGGAAGACGTGTTCAAGTTACTGGACTGGAAAGGATACGGTGTTGACGTCAATGGCGAGTACATCACTCACCTTCGCTTTGCCGACGATATAGTCCTTATGGTAAAAACACTGGAGGACCAAAGCACTGTGCTGAATGGCCTCAATAGTGTCTCTCAATGGATAGGTGTTAAAATGAACATGGACAAAACAAAAGTCATGTGAACGTCCATGTCACACCTATGCCGGTAGTTGTTGGAAGCACTAAGCTCGAAGTTGTTGACGAGTATGTTTACCTGGGACAAATAGTCCGACTAGGTTAGTCCAACTTTGAACGAGAGGTCAATCGACGGATTCAACTCGGCTGGGCAGCGTTCGGGAGATTACGACACCTCTTCTAGTCAGGCATACCTCAAAACCTCAAAAGAAGATTGTTCAACCAGTGCGTGTTGCCAGTGATGACCTATGTATCTGTGACGTTTTCCTTCTTTGCTGGCCGTATGAGGAAGCTCAAGATCGCTCAGCGAGCTATGGAGAGGACTATGCTCGATGTTTCTCTGCGTTACAGACTTAAAAACGAGGATATCTGCAGTAAAACCAGAGTAATTGACATGGCCCAACGGATTAGAAAGCTAAAGTGGCAATGGGCCAGCCATATAGCTCGAAGAACCAATAAACCGATGGGGAAGAAAGGTTCTTGAGTAGCAGCCTCGTACCGGCAGGCGAAGTGTAGGATCTCCCCCCACTAGATGGAGTGACGACATGCAAGAAGTCAATGGACGCAGGTGGCTCGAGACTGCTTTGTGGCATTCCTTGGGGGAGGCCTATGTTCAGTTGTGCACTTGTGACGGCTTGCAATAATGTTTGTAAGGCAAGTTGCATGTATGAGAATTTCAAATATTTCGTTTCGTTAAAAAGTCCTAGACGGACGCCTAAATCTAAACGGGTTGGACCAGCATCGTGAACTTTTCCCCACTTCAAAACCAAATTATTATACTTTTACAGAATACTCACGACCCTTTCAGAAAGCGAGATGAGGCCTGTAGTTACGAGACTTATGGATGATTATACTTAACATTTTTAATTTTATTTTAAACGTTTTTTGTTTAAATGTACTAATTTTCTTTATAAGTTAGATAATAATAATAAATATTCATATACAACTGAAAATAGGACGTCAGTAACCTATAATACGATAAATCGATTTGTACAATTCGCCCCTATCGTCAATTGGATTATGTTTATCCAGGGCGAAGTAATCAGCATAAACGAATGTGAGTGTGACACAAATGGAATTGTATAACATGCGGTATCGTGATTACGCTTTGCTAACACCATGTTATTAAGTCCTACCTGTGACTATCATAGTATGTACTGATTAAGAGATTAATTAATTAATTTTGAAATGAGAGTTGTATTTATGACACTTACATCTATCATCGATGTAGAATCAAGATGAAATTAGGTACAGCACCGGCTCTTAGGAATATGCTGGAATCCCTAGAATAACGGAACTTGTCAGGAACTAGATCTTCAATTCACGTCACTGGTCACCTGAAACTTTAATTCTAACCTCTCTATTCCCAGTCAAGATATCTTACTTTACACCAAAGACGCTTTAAAAACATCTTAGCTTTACACTCAATGTTTAGCTATGTTCACGGATAGCCATCCGTTTCGATATTAAATATTATAAAATATAAATAATATATACCTACATGTTCATTTGTTTTAACAATAAACCTCGCTTTTCACTATGGAATATTATATATATTATATCCCGCGATTGGCTTTCACACTATGAGATATATTATATATCTTTAACTAGTGTGCCTTCGTCATTGGATTACATTTACACCGCACTCGTCGTTTACAAACAAAATTGTCTTTCAAACAAAATGGATATTGTCTTGCTTTATAGACTCGACAGTTCATCAGAGGGAGATGATGCAGAATTCAGTTTATGTTTGTTACTTTTAAGTAAAAACAGGAAGCGTCGATACTGAATATCAAATCATATAAAGTTTAGAGAGGAATATGGTGAACTTAGACCTTTTAATGAATTCTATAAAAGTTAATATATAATGAAAGTTAATTATATAAAAGTTATGAATAGAAATTAGTATACGCACAACGCAAAAGTTCATTCAGGTAATGACAGTCACGAATTTGAGAACGTAGCGGCGGCGCGGAACGGTGTTTGGGATAAAGGGGGCGAAATATAATATGAAAATATCGCTCGGTCGGTCGAAAAAATATTTATCGTATGAGATGTAATATAATATATTACATCTCAGTGTAAACGGTTCTATTAAAGAGTACGGTGAGCGATATTAATTTATATCTCGAGAGATATAATATATATTACATTAAATCCCATAGTGAAAAGTGGGCTTACAACTATTTTGACCCGCTAGCAATCAGATACGGGTTATGTATGTCCCATGCTGCACAGGCTTTCTCTCATTTCTGAAAAAGATGTTAGGGCAATAAAGTGTTCAGCGCGCTAGCTCGTAGGCGGATTTTCATCTTAGTCCTCACGGGTGACAACGCATCTACATTTTGATTTGTAATAGAGGATAGATGAAGATGTCTATGGGCCGCAGCAACCACTTACCATCAGGTGGACTGTGTGCTCGTTTGTCACCCTTATCCTATAAAAAAAAAACGGAGCAGAGGCAAAGCTTCCTAAGAACGTGCAAAATTGTTACCTATTTTGGTAGGGTAGAGGGTTCTATTGACGATTATAATTATTATAATTCTGTAAATGCATACTCGCTGCGGCCGCGAATCATATTTTGTTAAACATATAACCTGTAACTCTCCTGCAAATTGCAAAAAAACATAAGAAAATTTGAATTTCGCGGGCTACCCTGGCGCTTCCACCTTAAATATTTACTGCTAAACCGGCAGTTTTACATGTAGCAAACGAACAAACCTATGCTCAGCAGTCGACTTGTGAGCTGTAACGATTATGATAATGAAAAAAACACCAAACAGCAGGGTTGCCATATATTTAAAAAAAAAACTAATATAATTTCATAAACGTAGTTGTTTATTACTTTTTATTAAATAATGTTTCTAAACAACAAAAATATCAATAATTATAGTAGGCAGAATAGAATAAGAGTAATTGCCAAACGGTTTTTGAGTATTTATTATAAATGAAACGTGCAGATAAACTAGACCAGACGGTACACAGTGGAATTAATGAAATTAAAAATGAATACATAATATTATTATCATACACTTTGTTCGAGGTTTGCTTTTTTGGATTTCCAACTTGTTCTTCTTTTGGCACATGATCACAGCATTATATTCTAAGAGAAGCAATTCGCCAGTGTCTAGTCCGCTAATAAGCTGATTGCATTAGGTACAGATAGATTAGTTGAGGAGGATTGTAGTGATTTAAATTAAAAAAAAGAATTGCGTCTGGGTAATTAACACCCTTTTATCCATTTCACTAAATAGCAGTGCATGCACTGATGTGTTCGGGTCTGAGCAATATAATAATGTCCTCCAGACCGAATTTCGGTCACGGCGGCCAGCCTCAACGGAGACTAGCCATCTGCGAAGGACAGGATTATAGTTTATAGTGCCCGAGTGTATGCGCAAGCACAGGTGCACTCTCTATTCCCTCACTCTCATAGTCCGATGGGACGGTAAACCGACACGACCGGAGAGAGATCAGGCGCAGGACCAACGGCTTAACATGCTTTCCGAGGCACGGGGGTAAGACACCGCCAACTGCCTGACTCCGGGCAGCTACTGAGAATTTCTTGATAGAAAAACTCAATAACTGACTTTTTGGCCCGACTTGGGATTCGAACCCGGGACCTCATGATCAGCAGTCGCACTACTACAATCACTAAACCAACGAGGCAGTAAGAGAGTGATATAGACAGCCAGAGAGCCAGTATAATTACAGTCTGTGAGGCACTCTCATCTTAGTCCTCCGTGGTGACAGCGCCTCTTTATTTAAAGTGGTTTACAGTCATAGCCTTCTTTATTTAAAGTGGTTTGCAGTAGGCTTTGTGGGATTGTAAGTTCGTCACTTCAACTATACAACTACTACAACACAAAAATAAAAAATTTGAAATATTTCTTACATATAATTATTTTATATTAATATTAAGCGCGTGCGTATGTGCGTGCGTACTTGCGCGCGTGTGTGTGGGTGTGTGTGTGTGTGTGTGTGTGTGTGTGTGTGAATGTATAAGTCTGTAAAAATGAGTGTGATGCTATGCCACAGAATAAATGATAGTACTAGCTATGCTCAGTCCCAGGCGTGTATATATCGCCATAAATTTGAAAAAAATGTTGCCAACAAAAAGTTGCTTAACTCTATACAAAACTTGCTATGTCGATAAGCATAGCTAGTTTATTACAGGGATATTATAAATTATTTAGCACGGTTAGATGTAATAAATCTTCATAGTATAACGTCTAATGAATAACTCTGATCATATACAGAATAATTAAATAAAACATACCTCCACTTGAATATTTCAATTAAATTTCGTTTTATAATGTAATTAATAAAAATAAATGAAATATAAATAGCCATAAATTGTAAGTAAATCCTGATATTTGGAGATGTTTAGTGGATCTACATTCTGTCACTGGACCTCAGTACGTAAGTAAGTTTAGAGAAACGTAGGTACGTAAGTATTTTAGGACCATTTAGTACTCTTGTCTGTCACTTTGTGTTCATTCCTTTCTATGCCGACCAGCTATATCTATTCTTTCATTTCTGTATTTCAAAACATAAATTCTTTTTTTTATTTCTCTTGTAGTTGCAACCTTTCTCGGATAGTCACGAGCAGGTACAAATAACTTACGTTGACTGATCTTATGGTCTAGACGAGCGCCTTTTTTAAATTATTATCGCCGTATGTATACCTGCTATAAAATTATTATGTGCTTCAGTTTTACTGATTATAAAATTTTTGTCATTAGAAAAGTACTCATTTTACTTCCTCGTATTCCAATTTAGTTTCATGAAGCGTAGTTGTTATAAAAAGGGTATTTAAAGCATTACAATAATATTTTCTGTTGTCTTTATTTTTTCTATAACCGTATGACGAATTATCTGAATTGTTATATGAGGGAGAATAATGGTTTGTGCACTTTTACAAGATATGAGAATATTTACTATTGCATTACTATGAAAATATCAAGACGTCGTCAATTCGTCGTAGACATTTTTAAGTCCCCCACTGCTAGTCGACACGCTCAAATTTGCTTAGAATTATATTAGGTTCAATAGGATCTAGTGACGCTTGATGCATAAGTAATAACTCAAATAAAAAGCTACACAAATATGATTTCATACTTGAAAATTAAAAGATATTGTGCTAAGCTTCTTTGGCAGCTTAAGCAGTTTATGCACCACTCTAGTTATGTAGTAGACAGTTTTATTTACACTGTACACTATTATAGGTATTTTAGAACAACATAGCTTTTTATTGTAAAATAAGTAGCAAAAATTAAGCGAGATATTTATAAATATAGTTTTTTTTTCACTACAAAAGTTTAAGCAAATAGAACAGAAAGAGCAACAGGTGCATAAAAATAAAAATCAGTTTAAAAAATAATCCAGTGCAATCCGCATGCAAATTTTTCAAATATTTACTTTACTTTTAATATCTACAAGTAGTGTTTGTTTATTAGTTGAATTGTCTAGTAAATTTTTAAACAAAGTATTGGATACAGGCGGCACAGTGGGAAGCAGGAACGGCGTTAGGGGCGCTACGTGGTTTAACGGCTCAAGTTAGGACGGCGAGAGCGCGAGGAGGCGCTGACGCAGCCCGGAGACGGGCGCTAGCCAGCACTCTTCGAGCACTTGTTGAGAGAACACACGACTTCACTGATTCCGCGTATACATCACACGATCATCGTCAGAGGATATTGGCACTCGCCGAAAGAATAGCCTATGAATTGGAAAGACTGGTTGCTGTCGCTGTGTCTGTGGTCAGTATTTAATTTTAAAGTCGTAAACGGCGGCAAAAGAAAATTTAAAATCTCATTCCGCCAAAGGATTAAATAGGATTAAATTAAGGTGAATACCAAAAAAATGTGATGGTGTGGTAGACGTAGTAGAATCTTCTTCATCTGTAGGGATTATTATTAACAGAAGCCGAAGATCAGGGCTAATTATCAGAGAGTAAGGAACACTCGGAGAGCCGTGGTAGCTCAGATGGTTAGCGCTCGCTGTGTTTCACAATACGCGAGCAACCCGGGTTCGATCCCTGCCGGCACCAATGAAATTGTTAATTGCAATTTTAAGTGCTGATTTACCACGTGCTCGGCGGTGAAGGAAAACATCGTGAGGAAAGCTGCATATCTGAGAAATGAGAATAAAAAATAAATTTCGAAGACATGTGTAGTTCGCCAACACGCATTGGGGCAGCGCGGCGGACATACGAGTATACTTGCTCTAAAACCCTCTCAGAAATGAGGGGAGGCCTGTGCCCAGCAGTGGGACGTATATAGGCTGTAACTTTAAGGAACACTCCAATTATTTTTATTAGTATCTGGATTTAAAGCTTCTATTTGGTGATTTTCGATATAAGGTATTTGGCTTAGGAGTCTTGGAAGATAATTCATTATTGCATATGTCCACCGACAAGCAGTGGTGCATCCAGTGTTGTGCCGGTTTTACGCCGCAGTATGAAGTGCCATTATAATCATAAGCTGTGAGACATTCTGTTGCCTCGCCTTTATTTGCGTTTGTTTTTTTGTATACGTAGGGTGACAAACGAACTCACAGTCTACCTAATGGTTAGTGGATACTGTAGCCCATACACATCTACATCTATCCTTGGTCAAGAGACATAATGATGGAATAAGATGGAATGCCTAATTTCCAGTAAAAAGGATTTCCAGTTCTCTACATTTCTCATTTATACATTCTGTTTGCAAGCAGCAGTAGTCATTTGCCATTATGTGGATACCTACTCTCTGACCTAACCTCAGGAGGAGCAAGGCGCAAGCGGTAGCGGTGCCGCGCTAGAGAGCGCGTGCATGGGCGCCACGAGCGCCGCGGGCGAGCTGGAGCGCGCGCTCGTGGCGGCCGCGCGGGACCAGGCGCGGGACTTGCCGCCGCTCGCCGAGGACGCACGCCGTCTCGCCTCCGACCTCGCCTACATGGGTAACCAACCCTCCACACCTGCTTTAGTTGTTTGGATTAAGGGTGAACACTTACGTGAACAATGCCTTCTACTTGACTTCGACGAATGGGTAGATGCTGCCTTTCTATCCGCATCTCGAGTACCGCGTCGTAACCGTCGTAGTAAGAACCACATTATGGTCTGGGATTTGAACGTTACACAGCATCTGATTAGCTTAGTTGAGTAGTATGAGTCTTAGCATTCCGCTTGCGCGTTATAATTTGCAAGTTTTTAAAAGCAACGGCCGTAGCAGTTTAAAAATAAACCGACAAAAACAATAGCTGTTCCTAACCAAACGGGGTTTCAATATGGACTGAACCGATTCTAAATTAGTAAGTTCATTCTTTATAGAAATAAAACCCTAATATTAGAGACAGGCAAAAAAATTTCCATAGATTCTGCTACGGCAATGTAGATGCTATTACTAACAATATTTGTCTAGCTTAGATTTTGATACAATCTTAAAAACAATGCGTTTGAACCAATTAAGGACCAAAAAATAAAATTTACATCATTTTCGTGATACTATAGCTTATAGGCTAAAACTCTGAAAGGAAAAGTTGAATCGGGTGAAAAAACCGCTCTCATAAATGACAGGGGTCTGTATTTTAAAAGCGAACAATAACAGTTATATTATTCTAAGCGCCAGTTCACGCAGAAAGTTTTGCGAAAATGTTTTTTTTTTTTATATAAGACCCTGGCTTATAGAGTAAAAATACAAATGTTCCAATTTCAAATTTTCTTTCATATTTTTTCGAGCTAAATTGAAATGCCGTATTTACTAAAAATGGATTTGCGCCGTGAGCTCGTGAGCATTTTCACGAGATGAGTTTTTACAATTTTAAATATCGTCTAAAACCGAAAGAATACGTATAAGTGTAACCATTTGATATATTTGGCAGGCACGGCAAGCCACAAATGGCATTTATGGGTAAAGACCCTTCCTTGTGAGGCAACTAATATAGCGCTGGCTTTGAGTTTTATATTAATCAGCTGGTAACAAATTTCATCACTACGACGACTAACTTTTAGAGGCTCAGAAAAAAAGGGGGACCCCCTTTTGAGGCTGTGAAAATTTTTAACGTGCTCGCAGTAAAAAAATTAATTGAAGATAATAGGCAAATAGTATTACAGATTATATCGGGAAGAATCCACGAGATTTTACATGAACACCTTCGCGTGAGGAGGATAGTTTCGCGACCTGAATCTTGGATTTATCAATACGCTCAAGAAACGAATCGGCAGTTGACAGTTTAGCTGTTTTAAATTTAACCAACGCCTACCAAAGTGAAGTGATCGAGCAGCGCCACAAAGATTTTAATCGCTTGTTTTTTTTTTCTTACTTTGACGGGGTATCTGGTGTCATTCAATTCCTTTACAAAATCGAAGTAGCATCTATTCTGAATAGTATACTACCGCAGACTTGGCAGAAGTGTCTGCTGCAACTACCTGTGGGCAAAAGCGACCGAACACGGGAGTCCGCAAGTTGCTGTTATACCATGCGCGGTCGTGGTAAAGCAGTAACTCGCAACGCTTAATACCGACAGCACACCGGTGAAGCTTTTGGATCCTTACAGCTCTGATTTGGCACCGTGTGACTTCAATTTTTTTCTTATAATAAATAAGCCGAAAGGGATGTGCTAGTTGCGTTCTAACAGGCCCCACTGTCTGAGGCGGACGGAAAAAAGTGTTTCAAAAATGGTTGAGACGCATGAATCTTTGTGTAGATGCTGGTGGAGAGTACTTAGAAAAGATTTAGTGATAAAAAGTTTAACCATAGAACTTTTTTAGTTTCACAAAACATTCTGATAGCCCATATATTATTATTTTTACCTACTTTCCTTTTTTATCCTTGTCTGATGTTAATTATGACAAAATTAAAACAAATTGTGAAAACTAAAAATATTTATTTAATGTACCTATAATTGGGTCTAAAGTAATGTTTTTATTTCTACTTTTATTTTATAAAGAATAAAACAAATAAAAAAAAGAACAGAAAACTTTTTAAAATACCAATCTCATAGTTTTTAATACAACTAGGTATTCTACAACTAAATTTTTTTTATATAACATTTTTTATTTTTCATTAATTTTACTAATCAGTTACTAATATAGGTAATGTTTTTATATAAGGAGCACGAGAAAATTCCAAGCTTTGATTGCAGCTAGCTCCAGCGGCGAGAGAGAATCAGAGAGACTGCACAATATAGCCAGCCGGTTACACGAACAATTAGATCATATAATAGAGGTACAACTTACATATTTAATTATATTATAAAATATTTTCTAATAGCCCGTTCCGGAACACATTACAAATCTGTACAAATATAACGTTCTCTTCGGAATTGATTCATCGTTATTAAATGCCTAATTCTTTAAACTCTTCTCTCCCATCTTTATCACCAGCCTTGGATAGTTCTGGTTATATTTTTTATTCTTGGTGCAATGTGTTCGCTATTACAACTAAGTCCCAGAAAATATACAAGGTATCTCTATTACCAAGTTTAAATATTTAATTAAACAAAAACTGTATAAATAGGGTTATTATAATATAAATGAATACATGGTTGATAATAACCTCTGGGAATGAGGTGGTCGCTTCCAAGCTGTTTCTAAAATAAATTTTGTAAATAGTTTGTAATTATTTATATTGTAAAATTTATTTAAAAAGTCCCGCTGGGTTTCTTGCTGGTTCTTCCCAGGACAGAGGATTGTTTTCGAACCAGTGGTAAAGTAAAAAATGACTTTTAATAAGATTTTCTTGTAATCAATATTTAATAAAAAATTATTCTATTCTATTCTATTTTACCACAAGATTTTTTTCTTCAGTTATTATTGATTAAATAATTATTTTTACCTAAATTTCCTCAACATCATTTATTAAATTGGTTAATAATAAAAGATAGCGCTCGATTTGGAAACTCATATTTTCGTAATGTTTTGGAATATGGTAATTATGTTTTATATGTTTGTCGATGTAATTTATATTAATGACTTAGACAAACAATATAAATTTCAACTGTAACCAAGGCACGTTAAATACGTGGCGTTTAGTATACGTACAGAAATAGAGTAGACTGTTTATCTCAATAAAAGGTTTACATTCAAACACAAACAAAACAAATGTGTAACTCATAAATAATAATTTTTGGCTCTGAACAACATGTGATTTTTAAACAGAATCTTTCCATCATATAAAAAAATAGTTATTGAGGAATATTATTTTCTTACGATGTCACTAAGCGACGATAAAATAAAATAGGTAACTAATTAAAATTTAAGTAAGAGACAAAGACCAGTGTGTTGGATAATCTAAAAAACAAAAACTTATCACAAGGCCTATAACATAAAACACTGAGCTTAGTCCTCTTGAACTATGATATTGATGCCTTAAACTTAGTTTTGTTTTTGCCGTGTGGTGTGTTGCAAAAGGCGAGTATGAGAAATATCTAAAAAATCTTGTGGCTTCCGACAGATGACGGTATAACCATTTTGTTTACGACAGACGTAAAATATGATGTGTACGGTGCGTCTACGATCGTCAAGCATAACAATCAAGGCAAAGCTTCCCCACAACGAAAGAGGTCCATGTCTAGCAAGGGACATTCACAGGCTGTTGAAAACGATGAAATAGAAGTACCTTTAATATTACTAGATGGAAAGACTCCATTTCTCCCTAGGATCCCCTCTGGGTACCAGCCTCTTAACTATATTTCTGCCGCCGAATAGCAGTACTTGCACTGCTGTGTTCCGCTCTGATGGATGTAGAGAAACATCGTAGTCCTCAGAGGTGACAACGCATCTGTGGCCTTCATTGTTTAACACTGGTTGGACTGCAGTGAGACTTACCTTTAGGGGGACGGTAAGTTCGCTTGTCATTTGTTTTATTAAAAAAAGTAAACCACGACTCGTAATCAAAAACAAAAAAAAACTGTTCGGTTTAATCTTGTTTAATGTTTTTTTGTTTTATATTAAACCGACAATATTCTCCTTTTATAATTCGTACTTCCATATCCATATTAAGATTGAATATAAGGAAATTTATGCAGATTATAAATAATTGTTACCAACACAAACGGTGTAAAATTTCGAGACGTTTAATTCCCCTCACAAACTCAAACACCTTTACTCAAAATTACAACAAATAAACCAATCGCGTAGTTGACATCACTATTAAATATAACAGCTTTAAAAATTTGAATTTACTACTTTTACTGGTCCATTTTCCATCTTAAGTGAATTTTGATTTTGTGTGTTTAAATATATTATACAAATAAGATCACAACTTTATTTGTAAATATTTAAATACACATATATGTATAATTTGCTACACCTGAGGAGGGGTTCCTTACTAATTACGAAAATATAATATAGTTTTAATTTTTAAGTATTACTTACAATTAATAATACTAGGAAACTGTATGTAAACTTATTTTTATATATAAAAATTACGTGTCACATTGTTTGTCCGCGATGAACTCTTAAACTACTGAGCTGATTACAATGAAATTTTGCATACTGTGTGCAGTTTGGTCCAACTTGAGAGATAGGATAGTTCTTATCCCGTTAAGTGACCCTCAATATTTTTTATTGGTAATTTAAGGATTTTTATAGGACAAAGTCGGCAGTACGACGTCTGCCTGGCCAGCTAGTAGAATTATAAAAAACTTTAATAATAAAATGTTTACAGCATCCTGGCCAGGCCTGGAGTGTTTGTTTTTTTATTACACTATAAAATGTATATTCTCATACAATTTCTGTAGAAATGTTTATTTTGACAGCTCTTACAAAGTGTTTTAATTGAATATGAATGTCAAATATAAAATTGCAGGTGTGCAAGCTGCTCCGGCATATAGCCATGTCGGAGACGCTGCAGGTGAGCGCGAAGTTCGCGGAGATCAACCTGCGGATATACGGGCCGCAAGTGATGACGGCGGCGCGCACGCTGGCGGCGCACCCGGGCAGCGCGGCGGCGCGCGAGAACCTCGACGTGTTCGTGGACATGTGGGCCTGGCTGCTGGCCGACGCCGCGCGCCTCGCCAAGGAGCTCCTCGACCTCACCAACGAGAGGCCCGACAAGCAGCAGTACAGCAGCCTACCCAGGCCTGGGGTATTCGTTTTTTTATTTAACGTAACGGTATACTGACTGTCTTATTGCCTTAATAGTCCTAACTGCACAAACCACTGATCATGTTGGTTCCGGGTGGGGCCAAAATCATTTATTGAGTTTTGCTGTCGAGAAATTCTCAGTGGCAGCCGAAAGTTAGAAAGTTGGTGGTGATTCACCCCCGTACCTCCGAATGTACATAAACCCATTAATCCTATATCTGATCTCTCTTCAAGCATGCCGAATTGCCATCCTATTCGGCTATGAGAGTGAGGGAATAGAGAGTGAACTGTGCTGTGCTTGTGCACACACTCGTGCACGGCTGCCAGCACCAGCAAAGTCTATACAGCGTGAATGTATGTATGCCGGTTACTCAAGACAGTTCCTTGTGGCAATCTATGCGAACGGCCTGTGTTCACCAATGGACTTGTAATGCGGTGTTATGATCATAATAATCATGTTATGTTTATTTACAATGACTATAAATTTATTTATGTATTATTTATGTATTTCTTTATTAGATCGCTAGTAGTTTTAACCCGGCGTTAGTCGCGCTCAATTTTTGTAACAGGGTTAGTCACGTGGGGTCAACAGGTATCCCCAAAAATAAACATGATTTTTATAAAATCTATGGCTTTTTTATAATTAATTTAGGATTTAGTAAATAGTTTAGAGTATAAAGAAATAAAAATCACGTATATTAATTTAAGAAATGTTTATTTATAATTTTTTTAAACAATAAAACAACACAGAAGCTTTTTGGCACGTTTTTTATAGGAATCTATAATAAAAATTATTAAACATAAAAAATAAATCAACAAAAACTTTTCTTCTACCAAAATTAAATCTTCATAAAGTAGACAACTATACGAGATCAAAAAACGTGTAACTTACAATAAAAAAATACATAAAACCATAAACTGAAATTTACAATTTGTATGCTAACAATGCAGAGATACATTTTTATGGGAATCTGTAATAAAAATTATTAGAGGTTAAAATTATATCAAGAAAAACTTTTTTTTCACAAAGTTTAATCTTCATTAAGTAGATCATGATATGAGATCATGAAACTTATAACTAGTAAAAAAAAAAACATGCTGACTGTTACAATAAGTATGTTCAGATACATTCTTCACAAATATTTTTGCAGTGCCTAGGGCACGTGGCATGGGCAGTGTACACATCGTCTCTTCTTCGGTTGTAGTTCGTCTTCATTTTCCTCTATTTCTTGAACTCGAGTTGTTACAAAACTCATTATTGTGTTAGATAATTCTCGGGGCAAATTTTTCATCGTGCTTCGGCACTTTAGTTGAGTTTCGAATAATGAATAAGCTAAACTTTATAAAACTCCTCCGCGTAAGACTTGTATTATGGTTTAGGCCGTCGAATATGATATGCGAATTCACAACTCCAATATAGAGTAAAGTACAAAATAGACACAGTGGCCATCTATAACAAGTACGTGCAACGGAGTAATGCAACTTCAGGCGATCCACAACGTCAACCCCTCCTTTTGCATTGTTGTAAAATGATATAATTTATGGTAATTTTTCCGGTTTTGCGTCGTTTACTGAAGCATCATTATGCATAGTTGAAAGTAAGAGAACTACTTTATTCTTCTTTGGGCAATATGATACTAAGGTACTATGATGCTTCCCGAATCCAAATCAAGAAGAATAAACGATGTTATTTTTTTATTGTTCCAACAATAGTCAAATTGTGCTGCATCACCAAATCTTCAGCTAGTGAAACACTAGTGTACCAATTATCCATGGTGATATTGCGACCCGTTCCAGATATTGGTTGAATCATTCGCTTTGTGATAGCCATCGTAGAATTGTCAACAGCATAGAGCCCTGCAGGTTGAACCCCCACATAAACCTCTAAATTGAGGGTATAAAATAAGCGAGCATCAACTAATGCCTGTATTTTTAGGCCATATTTTGCGGGTTTTTTAGGCATGTATTGCTTCTAACATTTTGTCCAGTGTTACGTACTCACCAACAGTATAACACCGTTGACAAGCCTGTAAAAACTCCTCAAACAATTCTCTTATGGGCGCTAATTTATCTTCGAACCTTCGCTCGTTACGGGTATTCCTGTCATCGAATCTGAGATTGCGCAAGAGAAATTTAAATCTTTGTACCGACATTACAGCTCTACAAATATCCAATCCAGTCCCGTCTGGGTTGAAAACATCCGAGATACGTAGGTGTGATGATTTGTATAAACCAGTGAGATACAATAAACCTATCAAGGCTCTTATTTCAATCATGTCTGTTTCAGATGAGTCTCTATCTCTTTGATAATTTAATTTTTGCGATTGTATTTTCTGATTAGTGTAAAGAACAACTTTTTCTAGCCATTAGATATTGAAAATAGTAATATCCAGGCTATTTCAGCAGTATCTGCTCCTCTACATATTTTTTAAGGTTTTAGGTCCTGGCAAATGTGTCACGATGTTCTGACTGCGGATGCGACATGTTGGTGGCGGCGGTTGCTTCCTCCATCTGTAAATTACTTCAGTCCTACCATTTCTTAATTTTCTGTGCACCACGTAACACTGTGAAGTTTGCAAGTGAGACAAGGGAACGTCATCTTCGCTACTTGAACCAATGTTCTGATTTTCCGTGACAGCTTCTGATTCTGAATCGCATTCTTCTTCTGTATCAGTTTCGTGCTCACTTATTTGGGGCTCTATTTCATCACCACCTTCTTCATCATCTTCCCCACCAATTACATCTTCAACTGACTCTTCTTCCAACCAGTTTCTAATACGCTCCTCTTGCAAACTCATTTTGTACTTCTAATAATAATTGCACTTTTATAACGTCGTTGGTCGCGTGGGGTCAACTGACACCCGTTCACGAAAAATACGTCCGTAGCGTTCAAGTGCACGGCGCATACTAAATGTTCACTTGTTTGTGTCGCGTATTTAGTCGTTATAGGAAGGTAGCTAGAGTTTGGATGCGATAATAATATCAGTATTTTAAATATTAAGAAAATAAACTTTTGACGGGCGTTTATTCGCCCCACGCGACCAACGGCGGATTATGCACATTGGTTGTAGGGTCTGTTTTGACCGTTTTGTATGAATTTTCGTCCGATAAAAGTTATTGTATTTTAAAATTATAATCTGACGTATTCATTACTACTGTAGAATTTACTTTACCTGCGCGGAGAATCGTGAGCTCTGGTCTGGTGCGTAAGTTGTACGACACTTTAATCTCGTCTTTGGGGAGATTTAGTTTCGGCACTGAACTCCGACGTAACAAGGACGAAATGTCTTGACGTATGGCCTCTAAATCCTCCTTTCCCAGGAAAGTGCCCAAAACGTCGAGAGTTAAAAAAGTTAAAAATTAAACGCGATAAAATCCGTAAAAGTAGTTTTATTCTATGTCTTTAAATTATTAGACGGAACAATAGACAATGTTTTTTGATGCATAAATTCCTAATGTAGCCACACGTACCTTTCAGTAGAATTATGATTTACTAGACTGTGGTATGTATATAATATCAGACCTGTGACTGTAACCATATTAACAAACCTTTATTATATGCATAAATCTATGATTATATGAGTATAACTGTAGTAGCTCAGGAGTTAAAGCGAAAATGACAATCTGTTATGAATAAAATCGATTATTGTTAATTTGAGTAACATGCATGTTTAATGCATCCTTCTTATGCATGGCATGCATAAGAAGGATGCATTAAAGTAAACAATATAGAGGACTAGAATTAAGAAGTTTAAATTTTATAACTCAGGAAGACGTCGCATACTATGTCAGAAATATTAGTACACCTCTACGCCGCACAGCTACAAACTTAATATGATATTAAAAGCATGATGGCTTTGTTTCATCTGAGATTTCACCTAGGCTGTAGGAGACAAGATCAAAAGGATCCATGCTACTCTCAAAAATAGTTATTGTTTTATGTTTAAATATCTGTAGGTCATTATTGAAACGTTCTTTTAAGACTTCTAATATATACATACATAACATGTATATAATATACTCATACATTCATATATATTTGTGTAAAATTGGTGATTTTATTGATTTCAGAAACATGGTACGACAAGTAAACCACTTAAGGCCGTACGATTGGATTCTGATGAACAAGCGAAAATTGCTAAGTCAGGGTTAGAAATGAAAATGATGTCCTCTGAAATGGACGCGGAGACAGAGAAATGGCAGGGTGCTGATGAGAACAATGACATCGTAAAGAGGTAAAATAATCTATTAATAAAATAGAGATTTCAGAACACATTTTTACGCACGCTCACTCAAACACAACTGTTATTTCTAAATGTAAGTAAGAAGACTCAACATAATTATTCTACAGACTTTAAACGGTTTATTAAATGTTTTAATATGCCTTTCCAAGCCACCTTTCGTTATCCTTATTACAGCCTATCGAAAGTCCATGGCTGTGAGTAGGCCAAATAAAGTTTCAAGTCATAGAATGTTTAGTTGAAAATGCTGCTGCCCATTTCCTCTTTTGATTTCCCTCTGTCGCCTCTTACTCGTACAACCACCGACGGATGATATTATGAGGAAGTGGATTTTAGTCTGAGTAAAACAAAAACCCGTCCAACTATAGGCCTATCGCGATCACCTCCTTGTTCTCCAAAATAATGAAATCCATTATTAACTGCCAGCTCATGCGGTACTTTGAGGATCGCCAGCTGATTAGTGACCGCCAATACGGTTTTCGTCGGGGTCGATTAGCTGATGATCTTCTGGTCTACCTGACCCATAGATGGGCGGAGGCAGTAGAGTCCAAGGGGGAGGCGTTGGCCGTTAGTTTGGACATTGCGAAGGCCTTCGATCGGGTTTGGCACAAAGCGCTTCTTTCGAAGCTCCCTTCCTATGGGCTTCCCGAGAAATTGTGCGATTGGATCACCAGCTTCCTTGCAGATCGGAGCATCAACGTCGTTGTAGACGGTGCATGCTCCAACTACAAGCCTATTAACGCTGGTGTTCCACAAGGCTGTGTACACCAACGCTGTTTCTTCTGCATATGAATGATATGTTTTTAACTGGTAACATTCATTGCTAAGCGGATGACAGCACTGGTGATGCTCTATACACCGGCCGTGCCAATATTTCTCGGGAAAACGTCGCCGAGTACCGGAACAAACTTGTGTCTGAAGTCGAGTCTTTGCTGAACAAAGTCTCGGATTGGGGCGACTAAATCTAGTCCAGTTTAATCCTCAGAAGACACAAGTTTGCGCGTTTACCGCTAAAAAGAACCCCTTTGTCGTATCTCCTCAGTTTTAAAGCACTCCCCTTCTTGCCTCAGCCAGTATCGGAATCCTCGAAGTCGATATATCGAGTGACGTGCAGTTTCGTGGTCACTTGGAAGAGAAGGCCAAATTGGCCTCTAAAAAGCTTAGCGTGCTCAGCAGAGCGGGAGAGTATTTCATGCCGGCACACCGCCTGCAACTTTACAAGGCGCAGGTTCGACCTCACATGGAATACTGTTCCCATCTCTGGGCAGGGGCTCCCCAGTGCCAGCTCCTTCCACTTGACCGCATCCAGCGCAGAGCGGCTCGAATCGTCGACGACCGAGTCCTTTCCAATCGGCTCGATTTATTGGCACTGCGAAGAGATGTTGCATCCCTTTGCATTTTCTTTCGCATCTACCACGGGGAGTGCTCTGAGGAATTGTTCGAATTAATCCCAGCCGCCAAATTTCACGAACGCACATCGCGGCAGAACTCTCGATACCATCCACACCATCTGGATGATTGGCGGTCCACCACTGCGCGATTTAGAAGATGTTTTCTTCCTCGCACGACTTCCTTGTGGAATCGATTACCATCAGCGATTTTTCCGGACCAATACGACTTAGGAACCTTCAAGAAAAGAGCGTACTCCTTTTTAAAAGGCCGGCAACGCATCTGCAATTCCCTCCCTGGTGTTGCAGTTGTTCATGGGCAGCGGTAGTCACTTACAATCAGGTGAGCCGCATGCTCGTTTGCCCCCTCTCCTATAAAAAATCGCCACTTAGAATTATATTTCACGGAAATGGTTCATGGAACTGTCCTAGTAAACGTCTCCTTTAGTATATTATGTTTTAGTTCTATTAAATACAATTCTATAATGAGCGCTGATGCCATTTCTTCCAGAACGTCATCTGTAGTATTTTCTTTATGACTAATACGAAGTTTATTACAAATTAAAACGATTACTGTAAATGTAGTAAGCTTTCTAGAACTTTTCCTATGGGTACTGTGACAAGTGCCACGAATGCAATTATTAGTATACAAAAGAAGCAGAAAACTGCCTTATATATCAAACATAATTTGATGCATTGATGGGAAATTTTCAACTGCTATCTTTTATTGATTGTCGCATTTATAGAAAAAAAATATTTTGTCCCCAGAGCAAAAAATATGTCTTCCATGGCCTTCGCTATGTACCAGTTTACAAAAGGCGAGGGCCGGCTAAATACAACGCAGGACCTCTTTACGCAAGCAGAATATTTCGCCGAAGAAGCCAATAGACTTTATAAAATCGTTCGACAGTTTTCATATCAGGTAAGGCCATTTGTAATATCATTAATCACGTCGACTGCTATACATACATACCCCCAATAGACTGTCTCATAGGCGGGATATTTGCCGTTATTGCCACACTTGACAAGTGGGCTTGCAATTTTTTTTATTGCTCTGAATAGAGACTTAGTAGTAGAGTAAATAATCAAGAAGATGTCGCTACCCATATCCAGTTGCAGTTGCCCTATTTCGCCTCTTACGCTCACGGGATGATATGAGGAAGTGGATTCTCTTAAGTTACCACCATTTACACAGAATGTAAACACGAGGGTGATATAACATATTATATTATAAGACACACATAACTCTTATGCAGGTACCAGCGGGAACGATGAAAAAGGAATTATTAGAACACCTAGATAAAGTTCCGACGTACGTGCAGCAACTGCAGTTTACGGTGAAGGAACCAACGGTGGGCCGCGCAGCTACCTTCAGCAAAGTGGATAACGTGATTCAAGAGACAAAACATCTCATGAACGTAATCAGCAAAGTAGTCACGACGTGCTTCGACTGCGCGAATAAGGTGATTGATCTACTCTTTTTGGTCATTAATTATACTGACAAGAATTTGAGCAACACGTCGCACATTTTAAAAATTTAGAGAATTTTCTAGAAATATTAAAGATTTTAGTGCATTGGAACGTAATGTTCCTTAGGTACCTTTGCCGTGGGAAGCCAGTGTGGGAGTGATTAAAAGGCACCAGAGTGTTGCACCTGTTAAGTACTTTAAAATTTTTATTTCGTTCATGGCTGTTAGACTTTCAGGATACGGGTGGAAAAGTGTGGTTACAGTACTGAAGGTTTATTCTTGAATAAATATTAAATTGTAATAAAACATACTTTATGTGATTGCTGTCATAAACAAGAATAAACCTTTTAGCTATTTAGAAATTAGTTTGAAATAGTCATAGTAAAATTTAAAATATACGGACTCCCTTTTAGTTAAATTGTATGTTTTATTTAAAATTTGTTTCTGTTTTCCTACCGCTATGCACTGGGTGGTTTCTTCCACGCCAGGGTCTTATTCCGTTGGACAAAGCGATTAACAAATCCTCAACCAATACAAGAGATAAATCGGTCTGTCTCATTGTCAGTCTTACATTTCATAACGTATATCCCTATATATATGTAATTCTGTGTGTAGTTACAATTGAGCATGTTTTGTGTAATCTATAAAAGTATATTGATTATTTATACTGTTATTCATAGTAAATATTGTTACTTGGGTATATATGTTAAGTACATGCTAGAGCTAGAGACCAAAAAATATCAACAAACAAGCAAGTACTCATACACCCTTTGTCAGCTAAGAGATATGGCGTTTTTTTGTTTATGCTCTTTGAATATTTTACTGCGTCTATTAATTATATTTTTATTCTTTTCTTTTACTCCTTTTTACGTTTTAATTTATTTCCTAATTTCAGTATTCCCTCTGTATGCCCGAGAGAGTACCTATGCATTGGAAACCAAACTTACAAAAAGCATCTACATTTAAAAGTGAAAATAGTGTATTAAATGGATAAAGTAGGTATACGTGTGGGTTGAAGTTTTTGATCACTAAAAACGTGGCAATAACATTCTCGAAATTCAGCCTAACATGATACATCGTGGTTATTGAGTTTAGTGTAGTATTGTTTTAATGGTGTAATCATTAGCTAATCTCTGAATGTTGTTTATTGTGTGTGTTGCAATGATATAATATATTTACTTAGTTTAGTATGTGTGTCAAAGTAATCATTAATCTTAAAGTTTATAAAATTATTTATAGACTTTAAGATGTTCTACGCGTGCGCTATCTTTCCCATTAAGTGAACTTACTAGAATATCTGCATAAACTTTCATTTAATCGACTATGAAATATTTTGATTTCGTGGTATTTTGTACAAAATTTATTCGCGTGCATGGTTCATGGTGTTTATCATTTCAATGGGTGCAGTAGCGATGGGTAGACGTCAATAATTGGTTGCGGTTTTGTCACAGCATTAACTTCTATTAGTATTTTCGTCAACGACCCCAAATAACATTAAAATGCTTGTGCTTAGAATTGAATGGGTCATGAAAATGGCTAGCTTGCTGTCAATCAGCCTTGCAATCGAATTGCAAGGTTGTAAAATTTTGCCTTCGATATCATGTGCAATAACCATTTCCATATGCAATTAACTTTTTTTCTTACATTATCTATAACCTCAACCCTACTAAATAAGCATTATAATGCCATAAAATGTAGGCGAAACCGCGCCAACATATTATCCATTTTTCTTAAACTGTCTTAATTTGGAAACAATGTTTTAGTGTCAATTTAATAAAATAAATAAAAATATAAAAAATACGTACTGTGGCGAATGAATATAAGTCACCACATTCAAACTTTGAAAAACTGTTGACCAAGTTAATTAGAAGACTGTCAAACGTGACGACACTGGCAACCGAAACCCTCAGACCAATAAAAAAGCCGAAACCAAACATATTATTTCCATAAAGAGTAATGAAGCTGTATTTTATCCATTCGTCTAATTAGCTTGGTCGAGTAGTTTAGTAAGACGGCACGGATTATGAGCTTATGGCCTTTAACACAATGACTTGGCCGGATTATGAGGGTATGATTACGTGGTCGGCGAAACTAATTCGGCCCAATATTAGTGATTTGCAGTAGTATGACTGGTGCAAGTATATTCTACAAGTTCGACGAATCCAATCGTTAATTAGTTAAAACAAATGAATCTGCTCTAATCAACCGCTCCAAAATCGCCCAGCGCTCATAACTCGTGCTGGCTGTATTTGATTTTTAAACTTTTTATCGACTATAGACACAAAAATATTGTTTACGCAATTATACAGTTTATGAAAAATGGTAAGTATATAAACAGAGTAACAGATAATAACGTGTTGGTACGGTGCAGTACAAATTGGACTTCACGGGTCTGTCGGCGGGCGGCGCGGGGGCGGGGGCGGGGGGCCGGTCGGCGCGGGACGAGGACTCGGCGGCAGGCGGCGGCGGCGACGCCAAGCCCGGCGGCAGCTCCTCCGACACGGCCATGTGACAGTACGGCATGGGCCGGCGCGGCAAAGGCGACGCGCGCCGGACCAGGGTCAGCTTCCTCTTGTTTTAAAGGCTTGAACGTCTTTACAAACAACCCGTCGCCTGAGGTCGGACGGACAAACGCTGCGGGACGCAACTCGGAACGGATTACACGTACCCGTCTGGTCCGAATTTGCCGCTGCCAGTTCTGCTATAGAGCCTGATAATGGCATCAACAATAAAGTAAACCCAAGGATATGTATGTATGAAAGTAATGGAATTTTGTATTAAATTTTCACGAAATTCCGGACTGTCGGAGTTATTTTAAAATTTGCAAACATTAAGAAGCGATGACAATACAATATTTTTTTAACTAATATTATTAAAGTGAAACTTCTTGTGTAAAAGAAAGAGAGAGCAAGTAAGTTAAAGTGATAAAATGATACTAAGAAGTTCCACTTCTTTCACGTGTACTGAGTGCACGCACCCTTATTTTTTAGATGTTTCTGAATACAAAAGCATGTCATTTATTATAAGTTGATTGCATTCCACACATCGGCAAATTTGAAACAGGCGGGTCGTATGCCTGCTGTCGGTAGGTGTGTTTTCCCCTTTTGTATGGCTAGTGGGTTAAGATAAATTATCATTAAATATTTCCCACCGCTAGAGTCATCAAATAATTAAAGACGTATAGAATAATTAAATAGCAGCAATTAATACATGCGTCTAACGTAAAAAAAAAAGTATAACCAACACTCATTTTTTTCCTTATCTAACGCCAGTGTACGACTACAATCATATATTATATATAAAAAAGAATCTTACCGTCTTATTGCAAAAAGTGGTTATTTGACAGTCTGAGTTTAAACTGTGATTTGAGAAGTAATTTTTACAGAAGTAGTTCGTCAGCCACAGCGCGGCGCCAGTCTTCGTAAAATTTGACACTTTTCTGTCAAATTCCATACTTTACATATTAGTTCGCATATTTTCCGCGGGACTGCTTTTTTTGAAACCACTCCAAATCTCTGAAATCTCAAAACCGTTCCATATCTCCAAGATTCTGAGACGTTCATAGCAATGCTCCAATTCGTGTTTGCGGACTTCATAATATTTCCTCGACGTGGTTTTTTTTCTTATATACAGATTTCCCTACGATGGTGTCCTTTACCTTCCAGCACGTGGTAAATGTGTTGTTACAATTAACATTTCGTAGTTCAAGTAAACGGAGATCTTAGATTGCTATGAAATAATAATATAAAATAAAGAATTCTAAGGCATGCGCTCAGGATACTACAAAATGATCTAAATATTTTAGATAATTAAAAACAAAAGACGGTGAAGTTTAGTCACTCCAGACGTTAAATGACCCAGGCATATAATTTCAATTTGGTCTAGTATTCTTACCTTAAAGTGAAAATAACACTAAAGCAAAGAATACGCAAAAAAAATGATTGTAACGCGTAAACTGCATTTTATATTGTATCTGTCATAAGGCCATCAAGCAATATCTACTCTTATTATTTATGGAAAGCTATTTGGAACTACGAAAGTGTATGTAGCAGAACCAAATAAAACCTGGCGTATTAGGCATTAGTATTTCGTCAGATGCCAAGTGATTATGGCTTAGATCGATTTATTTGAACACAAAGTCATATTGGGAAATGAAATGAAAATTCATTAAGAACTTCTTGCTTGCTGTGAAAGATAACTAGGATTAAGGTGGGAATAACTAGGCCATTTTGTCGTTATCCTTTCAGTTGCTAATCTCCTAGCGTTTGTCCCAGGAACCATAAGTATCATAGTCTACTTTTGTGGGTATAGCTACGTAAAAATAAGCCAGGTAGACAAAAATACATATGGACCCGGAATCCGACCATTTTGCTGGCAACCCATTTAATAGTTTGCAAATACAATTTGCATCTGTTATATGGATTGCAGCAAATAAATTAGTTTTTACAAGATGATCAGTACGATATACAGAATAAGCTTCAGCAAAGCACTTGCGACACACAAAACCATAAGTAGTGCTGACATGCCAATTTTGAAAATGTACTCAATTTGTCTTGTCATTTTAAAGATCTTTAACTACGTACGTACATGACACAATTGACTGTTATTAATAATAATACTTTATTAGCATACGACGTAGCATCTCATGATTTCGTATTTTTTGTACCAATAGCTTAAGTATGTAGCATCTAGACTTCTAGGTATTTTCTACACTCATTTAATTTACCTTATAATTAAATTAAAAATTGTGATCATTAAATTGAAGAGTGATATCATACAATAATTAATACTTACTTGTTACATTTTCCTACAATAATGTTACACATTGTTACATAAATACGTAAACAACAGAGTAATTTTAAGTTTCCCCTGTAGATAATAATTTAATACGTATAATACAATATTTATGTATGTGTTTAACCCTTCTCCAAAGCATTATTAGTAAAATAACTACATTATTTAAGTTTCAATCATCTCTTATCCTTCTATAATGCGCACATTGCACCTTTGTGGTCCTGTTGCACTATTTTGTTTCTGCACGGCACGCTTTCTTAATTTATTTGGCATTACACACGGACATAAGTAAATTAATTCATCACTAGGTACATTTTGCTTTAAAATTACACAATGTCACTATATTCCAAAGAGAATATAAATACGTTTTTATTCCTATTCATTCGATGTTACTTTATTTATGAGCCATTTATCTTTTATGAATATCTTGTAAATACTAGATTACTCGAATATTATGATAAAAATCGCGTGGCAGAAATTGCATGACTGTAAAAAAGACTACGTGTGTTGCATGTGTGTATGTGATAATTGTAATGGATGTCGTACTTCATCTGTCCAAAGGGGAGGATGTTTAACATTAAGATGAGGGAAATTGACTCTGGTTGCTGCTGTAACAGCACCCACGTCGCCAACGAAACGTTTTGTGTTATATAGACCACTCATCTCAATTTCGTGAAAGGCGGGCTGAAGACAGGCGTTGCACTCGGCATTTGCATGTTTCTGTGTGACTTGCTGTTGGCCTTGATGCAAACCATATCGCTCAGCATGTCGCCCATTGACCATGACAATTATGTCCCCATTACTTAAAATTAATTTATTATTACGGCAATAATGAACATATCACATGTTTGTTAAGATATAAAATCGTTAATTTAGACGATAAAGTTATTTAGTGTTTAAATAAATTATAGATTGCGATTGAACGTGCCTCGTCTACAGTTAAATCTTTTGTCTTTGTTTCTGTTGTAGATATAAAAACAAATTTAATAAGTTTTCAATCAAATCATCATATCATGTGTTGTAATTAAGTAGTTTGTTAAACGCTGAATTGACTTAGGTTAAAAATTAATCAATACGCGGCCTATTTTAAGTCGGAACGAATATAAAATTAATTATTATTAGCGATGAAATGTTTAAACTAAAATGTTATTTTATTGCTCCTCTCTTTTATTAGCAATTCGAAATAAATGAAAATATTGAAAATAAACATTATAGAAAATAATGTGGATGATATAGAGTTGCTCTAAAGTTTTAAAACGGTTTCTAAGGGAATGGAAGGCATCTGCATCTGCAACTGAAGGGATGCTTCTTAAAGTTTCTAAGAAGAAAAAACGAGCACACAGCAAACCTGATGAAGCTAAATGGTTGCTGCGGTCTTAGACTTTAAAAATCACGACCAAATGCCTAGTTGCAAGGGTGTAATTTTTTTTAAGCCTCCGCAGTTTTCAGCGCTTGTGTATATGTTAATAGATGTAATATGCAATAGTATTAATAAGCACATTAAATGGCTTCTCGCGTAAGACAAAGCTATATGAGTGCCATATAGAGCAAGTCCTGTCTGCATCCTGTTTTAGAATCTACAATTCTATACGGTCTGTATAACACTTCGTTTCTAAGATTATATAGAATAATAATTATCGAAATCTTAATGATAGAGTTGTTTCCTTACTTAACAAATTACAAATATAAACTACTTTTTCATTCATATAATCTTATACTAAGCCTTCGTAATCGTTTATTGATTATAATATCTCTAGATAAGAAGCTATTTTCGATTCTCGAACAATATTTATAGTTTATGTATAATAAAGAGCTTCATAAAGCTTTATGATAAGAGTTGTGAATCGAAATTGTGGCCACGTAAATTTATAGATTCAAAGTTAGAGTTATACTGCTTCGATCGTTAAATATCGATGTAGCTTATATAATAATATACATAAATTCAACAAATATAATTCAACAAAACGCAATCATAATACTGTTCATTAGAACCAAAGCTATAAATTAGAATTCGAAATATAAATAAAGATGTATCAAATTAATAAATGAACTACATATTCTCTTATTTCATTTATATGGACATCATTTATTAATTTGCAACCTTTCATTAAGAAATGTGGATGAAAACACAGGGAACCATGGAAATTTAAGTTTATTTTTCCGACCTTTTAATAAATATAATAGTCACAAATACCTGTAACTGTTCAAAGTGAATTACAATAAATTAAAATGCGTTCATATTATTATCGTCGAGTTACTAGTACACGCTAGCTTTTTAGCTACCGTAGTAAACAGGTAATTTAATCTGTGTTTTAAAAATCTGTGAGTTTTAAATATACCTATGGTATTTAAATTTACATGGTTCCGACCGCAAATTCAAAGTTTTTATAGCAATACTAAGGAAAATTCTTGTTTCAATCGTTTCAATTTGTTTAAAAAATTATAGATAAAATCTAAAAATATAGCTATCACCTCATATAAATAGGTTTAAGTAAAGAAACATAAGATATGAAACGGGAAGTTCACAAATACAATAGCTGTGCCGTTGTGCCTCGTAAAGTAGTTTAAAAGTGAGTATTGGACAAAATTTGTCATTTTTAAAAATTTATAATGTTTGTTCTCTCTTTAATTTTAGCTGCTTGCTACAGCAGATAAATGTTGTACGGCAAACATCAAGCATTTACACTATAATCTTAACAATTAAGTATATAGTTCTTA